TATCACCGATTGTATTTCTTTTGTTACAATTCTCCGGTATCTTATATTAGTAATGTTTGTCTGTTCGTCTGTTCACTTCATGACTTCAGATTTCATCGAAATGAAATTTTGGACTTAGAAGATTTTGGCTACGAGGAAGCTGCGCGTCCTATTAGATTTTTGATCTAATTGCTTTGGAACCCAAAACAAGAAAAAAAGTGCAAAACAACGCTGGGCTTAATATCTTGTAAATATCAATTATCATTTTTTCAGAATTTCAATCCGACGAGGAAAATCGAAATTAAGATTTCCTCAATTATAGCTCTGCCGGCTCACAGTTGGCCGGAAACGAGCATTATCTTAAACTTCCGGCCAGCTTCGTTCACACCAACATCTGAAATATGCCAAGATAGAAAGACTTCCTGGTCGAGTAACCTCGACAATGGTTTATTACTCATTCTCTTTACAATGTATTGATGATTTTCCAAATTAAGTTGTGTATTTCGTGCAGATACATTCATATTCGACGGATTCCACATTTTATCTTAGTTTATTAAAAACTGTACGTCTAATGAATTTTTGGAAAATTTTGAACGAATCCAATTTAGAAGTTGGGTACGCGGGAAAACTAAAAACTCTGTTAAATTATTATGAAGAAACTTTTTATGAACATTATTAGACGGTCCTTTTAGTACGTCGCCCAAAGTTCTATCGACTTCTTTCGAAGAAAATAAATGTAAACGGTATAGAAAAATGAGATGAATACGCAAAGTGGTGTTTGCATTCCTTCCTCAATAATATTATAATAGTGGTTCAAGCCCTTATCTCGTTTTACTTACGAACTATTAATTCATTAGTCGACATGTCTAATTAAATTGCCAATTAAAATCTTCCATCGATAACCTTTATTTTTCCCATTTATAGACCGAAGCATCATCTATTGCATTTCAATTCACGACATTAAACATATTGGGTTGGTGCATAAGTTCGTGCGTTTTTTGTAACTAGTTTCCCTAGTTACAAAAACATATGCACCAACCCAATAGTTGACATCACCGAGTAAAATTTTCCGACGAATTTGGATCTCCTTATCTTGTTTTTGAATGGTAAGATTCTCACATCGTCAGCTCATACGAGGTATTTATCACAAGTAAGCTGAGGAATAATACTCGTCTGATGTAGCAGACAGAACAACAAGAAGGTTAAACATTTCGATTAGTATGTAAGTCTCTTATTTAGTAGTATCAGCAGGAGTCTTAACTAAATCTCGTCAACCCGAAAAAATGTCATATACGTAAACACGAGATTGACTCTTGATTAATTTGATTTCTCGTCTGATATCATTCTATGACATAGTGCTATCAACGGTTAATACTAAAAATTACAATATTAAAGTGGCATTTAGTACTGAAATATCTCATTGCCATAAATAACCAGTCTAATAACTACAGTACATGATGCTCTAGTTTTAATTGTGTTAGATAAAATGCTATAACTATATACATACTATATTATTGCAATACCTATACCATGCAGTAACCATTTTATAATTTTGTTAACTTCTCTACAGCACGGAGGAGTAAAGGGGCACACATCAGTAGTTTTTAATCCGCGACAATAGGTTCCACGAACGTAAAAGTTTTCCCTACATTTCAGCTGCATATTCTTATTGTTAATTTCTGACTTTAAAAATTTCGGCGTTGTGTATATCTTCCTTATATTTAAAAATGTCCTCGACTTCGAAAGCGTTTTGCTATACCTATACCATGCAGTAACCATTTTATAATTTTGTTAACTTCTCTACAGCACGGAGGAGTAAAGGGGCACACATCAGTAGTTTTTTAATCCGCGTCAATAGGTTCCACGAATGTAAAAGTTTTCCCTACATTTCAGCTGCATATTCTTATTGTTAATTTCTGACTTTAACAATTTCGGCGTTGCGTATATCGTCCTTATATTTAAAAATCTCGACTTCGAAAGGGTTAAGAACCACTGGCTTACAGTTCTGCGGTCGCAAAATCTCTTATTTCGTTTTAACGTCGAACAGCTGCTCCTTAGTTTCTGTTTAAGAGATATTAGATCTGCCATCCTAACGTTCCTATATGTCAGTCTTCGTTTAGTTGTGTTCGTTACATGGAGATATAAGGAGGACCACTTCGGAACGGTTCGATGCCCCGATGGTTTCTGGGCTAAACGGGACGGAAGTAGCACTTCTCTGTTATGAGACTTTGTCGAGGACGCTTCAACGTTTCCGAAGATGTGTTTTCACATTTTCGTCCACGCGATTGCACGTTAGCATTACTGCGTTTTTACTCAACACACTTGAAATACTTTCCGATTAGTCGTTAGGGTAATTTTTTCTCGACGAGAGGTCGTACACTTTTATACCTAGATATTACTTGCGAAGGCTACGCTATTTCTACGGTTTCAAGGAAAGCAATGCAAAATGAGGTAAAAACCAGGAAGAGAGAAATCAGGGGTGCAATATTAATGGCTCTTCCCGTTAAAGAGCCAAGAGTCAGGGCGTCGAGCATTCGTCAGAAAAGGAAAAGTCGAGACACAGAATTTATTTACGGCGTAACTTATTTATAGCATTCCCCTGGCTCTTATAGGAGCGCACAGTTGCGTGCAGCTGCCTACGCGATCGAAGAAAGAAATGCGTACCGATTGATTCCCCAAAACTACGATTAGGGTATCAACCTCCAACCATACATCACTCTCTGCCATATTAGATCGAACATTTCGACATTCGATCGCGACGCTTATTTTCGACTTGAACGATCCTTACTGATCCATACAAAGCGTGAGATCCGTTTAATTTATGTGCGATCTCAAAGTACTAACATTCATTGAATTATTTCATGCCGTTATTATTTAACTAAGAAGCTATCAGCCCATCCATTTGCCGATGTTTTGGTTGAATTAAAAACAAATTACCGTTTATTAGTACCTTTCGTGAAAAGTTTTTTAATTTGCTATCTATGCACAGTATACGCGTATGTAACGTTATCGAGGAATTCTGAATCATTCCGTTACAGGACAACAACAAAGTCAATATTCTCTCTTCCTTCAAATCGCATTGATAAAAGTTGATGGAAATTTACATACATTTTTACACACTTCGTGACTTAACGTTTCACCTAGAAAAACGTATAATGGAAGAATTAAAAATTAGACAATGTATAAGTACACCTAACATCGTATATTCATCGTATTAGTGCATTTTTACTTGAATTTAATGTAATATTACGTAATAATTTTTTATAATTTAACTCAGATACTGAATTTGATATTACAGAGACAATGTAATTTTACTGCAATTTATCGTAGCATTAAAATAGCTGATGATTGAGTATGTAAATTTATATGGGCATTTTTATCAGTGCGGTTTAGGAAATCTTTCATGAGGTAACCAATTTGATAGTTACGTTACCAGTATTGTGTAATCCCCTCGAAGACATTTTTAGTGAAGAAAAAAAGAAAACTATGTCAAATACATTTTCGTTTCCTTTCTGAATTACAAAAATTGTTCTAATCGCTCTATCTTCGTAAATTATGGAAATGAAATATTCTTACCAAGTAGAATAGTAGGTACGCTCACGCCATTAAAAATTCAAATAAAATGTTTTTAACAAATGTTATTGAACATTTTGTTACGTGTAAGATATAAGTCTAGTTATTCAAAGAGATATGAAAGTGAGCAATAATATGGTAATCAATTTTAATACATAATTTATGCGGATTCTTTACAAGCGGTGAGATTACTCGGTTCCCTTGATCGTTTTTCGTCATTTAATGAGTTTAGTGGAAGTATCGTGTATGGTGCGAATGAACAATGCGTAATCAGTTCTGCACACTCTCCGTATTCATCAAGGTGTGCCTGCACGCTGATTTTACTCCCACGCGAAATAACTGTAACACGATGAAATACTCTCGTATGGTAATATTTGAATCCGTTGAAAGTAAAACGGTACCATGGGAACGAACAAAGTGAAAAATTGAAATGGAGAAGAGGATTATGCGCAGGGAAGAGCAAAATTAGAAAATGAAAACAGTAGAATTAAAAATGCTTCCATTATTTTCCTGTGGAACTATTGCAAATGTTCTATTGTGTGTGTAGTTTTGTATAACCTGTAGAAGATACAAAAATGACAACTTTTGGAATTACATAGTTAACACAAGTTAATCTACCGATATGGAATGTTTAGTACACATCTTTAACTAAAATAAAATGCCTAGAAATCATGTACCTGGATACTGATGCGGATAAAGACAAAAACTATAATCACTGATGTTTAAAATGAAAATTAATAAAAAGGAGTGGTGCTTTTATAAGTAATCTACTTATAGCGCTTAACGTGTCATTGTTTTTCATTTATGACGACAGTTATATAAGATACTTTCTAATATATTCAATATGAGATTTTCAGTTATTTATGTTTCTCAAAAAATGATATTCTTTTATAAGTAAAACTTACAAAGACCACTGTGTTTTTTGTTTTGAATGACAGCGCAAATAACATTTTCATGTATTCTTTTGATTAGGTTTAAGTAAAGAGGACAAATTCCTATAAATATTTGAATAAGTGTGAGAATATTACATTTACGATTACGTTTTATATCAAGCTTAAGCAATAACATTGCACCATGGGAAAAGTGGTGGCACCACTTTATTCACGAGAGACTGCAATTCTTTTAACAAAGATTTTCGATTTTCAAATAAAGTATAATGTTGCATGAAAGATTAAACATTAATATTTTAATATTATTTATTAAACTTTAATTATTAATATTCAATCATTTAATCGCATTAACTCGAAGACAGGCGGGCTTATTTGCTAACGAGCCTGTTTGCGCCGATAAAGAATACTAAGCTTCATTAAATGCAAACTCCGGGATCAATTTAATAAAGAGTACAGATTAAATCGGTGACAATTAGTTTGACAAATACCGTCTTTTCTATCTTATCGCAATCCGATAACTTGGCAATGACTACCCTGGAACAATTATTAATTCGGCCAGTTAAAAGAGAACGGCAGTACTCGCTGATCGCAAACCAGTAGTCAGGGTGTTTCAGTTTTCGTTTCCTCGATAAAATATTTTACTTTGGACAGAATGCGTGTCCTAGTTGTATTTGGAGCTCTTTTGCTTTACTCGACTTTGGTCCTTGGAAAACCGAAAACCGTCCAAGATGAAGGACCCTTGTGCGTGTGCACCTTGGAGTTTGCACCTGTGTGCGCCAGCAATCATAAGACGTACAACAATATATGTCTCTTCAAGTGCGAGAGGGATTACCTCAGATCTAAAGGCGGCCCAGGTATGATTAAATTGTACATACAGGTATATTGCTTCAGAGCAGTGGTTCTTAGCTCGTTTAAAAAATGATGGAATACTTTTGATTATAAGGAAAATTTGTGCTGCCCCATCCAACAACCACAAAATAGTGGAATGCACATTCTATACACGTAAACGTAATATAAATATAGTGCAGGTGTAAAAAATAAACGCTACTTATTCGCGGTTTTTTTTCCACATCAAATATATATTTACAAGAACGGTTAATTTTCTGTGTTAGATTTTCGATGTGTTTTTCCCTAGTTGAGAAGAAACGTGTACTTTAACGTAATGTTTATAATGTTTAATTGAAAGTATAATGAATGATTCTTTTGCGCTAGAACTGTAACGTTTGTATAACGTTTGCGAGTTTAGTTTTTCTCTCAAAGGGCGAACATTAGAATCTACAAAATGTGTTAGTGCTTCTAAACGTGTATTCCATTACTTCGTGTGGGAATATTAGCTGTACATGAACAGAAGTACAAAGACGTGTTTTTCAACCTTCAAACCGTACATATCTTGCTTAATGGGGGAATATAGATATTAGTACTTGATATAGCGATGTACATAACGAAATCTCCCCCTTGTTATTTTTTTACTTGTTAAGTCGCATAAGCCCGTTATATATATGCAAATAATTATATGGATCATTTGTAACGAGTTTCATTTAAGATCCACTGCTTTCGAGAGTTCATTACTGTTTCAGTTATTAGGCCGCTATTTCTGTATGTTTAAAATAGATATGCAGATAAATATCAATTGACTGTACTGACACAATCCTTTTTATTTTAGAAATTGTACTTCTCCATCGCGGCGAGTGCAAAGATCTGAGAAGTGACTAGAAATTGGATACCGTTATTTATAACGGCGGTGGAATTATTTGCAATATGAATATGAATGAAAGTGTTCACCGGAACTCTACTTGTTGTTATACCCTGTGATTACAATTATATTCCGTCGGAATAAAGTATATTACTATGAGCATAATATAGTAGCGTTTTCATTGAACTTCAACGTTTACGTATCCCTTCCTTCGTTGTAAGTTGGAATTTTTTAAAATTCTTTTTTAAATTAATTTGCGAAGTAATCGTTAGAAATTATAAGAGAATCTAAGTAATCCGAAGGATTTTAAATGATTAGCATGTGTATATTAATGATTGACCATCATGCCTCATCAGGGATCAGTTATCAGTTATCACATGAAACGTGCACGTAATCTCGTAACACTGTAATTCGCACTTTTTACAATACTCTGTCTACATGGGTTCGAACGAAGGCATTACACATTAGTGAATCATCGGTATGGGAAACAGTAGATGATGATGACACATCATACACCATTATTTGCGGTTACGCCATACTCGACCGAAATTGACGGAATCTATCATCGGGTGTCATTGCATGATTAAAGATATGCATTGAAGTGACTCATGCAATAATGTCGCACCTTGGAAGTGTAATGAATTTTAAACTAACCATTGCGACGGATTATAAGTGAATCAACGTACTGAAAAGTGGAATTGTTGACGTTGAAGATAAATCTACGTTGTATCAATTAGAACTACAAAATGCACTAATTTCTGTACATTGTTCGAATGGATGATATAAACACATAGTTGACAGATTTCCCTTTCATTCCTGTTTTTTGACGGATATTCTCGTGCGGAATATCCGCAACGACTTAAAAAAAAAACACACACGTCTATGCGTCTATTAATCGCTACTGGTCATTTTCTACGTGGTTCGAAAAACTTTGTTTTTTTTTCCAAATAAAGTAATCGATGAGGTATTCAATTTGACTTCACGTTAGAGAGTTTGAGGTCTTCAATAATTAGCTTCAAGAGGAACAAGTCAATTTTATTTTTAACCTCTTGAATAACGATTTCCAATAGTCGAATGCATTTTCCGTGCTATTCGATGCGGACGTAACTTGTCATTACGAGAAGAGGGGCTAATATAATTGCCTTTCATCCCAGAAATGGAAGAAAGATTTTCGCAGGTCAACAAAATCGATAGAGCTTTCAAACCATTGCATACTTATCATCTATCAAGCAATATTAAAATTATTCGTATTGCATTAAGTCCCTTACGCTTCAATATTGTCAAGTTCATAAAATCCGAGATAGATGGTCGTGCAAATAATTTAGAAATTTATTGCTTGTATAATAGTCGTACACATTGGTAGAATATATTTCGCATGACTGAAGGAATCTATTTCTGGCCGAAGAAACATGTAGGGGGCAGAGTTTCACAAATGATTAGCCCGTTCGACATGAAATTGCGAATTTGTCCATTTATAAAAAGATGTTTAAAATCCCACGTCCCTTCACAGTGTAGCAAAAGTTGATCTCACCGTTCGTTTCCGGGAGAATTTTGCCATAAAATCTATCCAAATGAAGGGTAACGGGAGGATCGAGTACCATCTCAGGAAAAACGAACGAGGCCCTAGAACTTTCCGTAGAACTTGAACATCCCTTAACCGAAGTGGAAGGGTTTACCTTTAAAGAGGGAGGTCTCCCTTTAGAGGGGTGCACCATCCACGGTACGAGCCGGAGGAACAAACCCGAGCGAGGAAAGCGTTTAAAAGTTGTGGAAAGCGTTTGAAAAAGTGCCTTACGTCGAAGAATACGGAAAGGGAGGAGGGTGTGGTGAAAAGATGAAAAAAAAGCATAAAGCCGCGAAATTGACGACCGTCTCGAGTGGAGTGGTGTCTGACGCGCTCCAAGGGGCCGCAGGGCTGCCTCGTCATAGAATTTTCGGTACGACAAAGAGACGTCGTTAAATCGACGCGTCGCGATGCCGAATCACGGGTTATAAGACCGAGGGTGGAATCGCGTCGAAACGCCCCCGCCACCGGGAACTTCGAGAAGGGGTTAATCGGCACGTTGTTTCAATCAACGGCTCTTTGGCTCGAGCTGAAAACCACCGCAGAAAATGCACGAATCGCTGAAGAACCAATTTTCCGGAGGATTTATCTCCTGGGACGAGATTTCATTTCCATAAGGAATAACGCTTTTTTACTAAAAAAGGCGCCCCTCAAATTAACGGCTATTCAACTTTTGAGATATTTTAATGTACAATGACATTATTGCCTTAAAGAACTCATGAATGGGATATAAAAGCCAATCCAGAAGGTTTTGAAACTCCGCTCCTAAGCTGAAAAGCTTCTTCGCTCGTCGGTTTTTAAATGGAGCTTTTATCAATTAAACTTGAATGAAATTAAATTCCCATTCACCATTCACTTCCTTATTAAAAAGCAGGAGATAACCTTACTAATATTCCATTCTATTGCTATTAGGTAACATTTGGTCAACGAGAAACAAGCTCGGATGGATATCTACTCCAATCATGAGATAGAAGGGAGATAAAATGATAGATGAGGTTTTGGGTTAAAATACCAGATCCACCCTGTATTCATAGGAATGTTTGTGGAATGAAAATAACAAAACATTGATAAGGCCCCGAGCAATAAATGTTATATCATTGACATTGAGTTTAATACCTGTGTTATGTTAAAAAGATATGAAATGAATTTAGCGTAAGGAGAAATGAATGTTGTAACCCTCGTGTTCCTATCGCAACCATGGAATACAGGGAACCTTATTTGAATTTAAGTATTGAATTCGATTGGTATTCATCGATAGTTTCTCCACACTGTTCGTATCGAACAGTCGCATAAGTCCAGCTGCGAAAGAAGTCCAAATAAGGCCCAGTGAGTTCGATGTTTGGAATTTGCTGGTTCCCCTTAGGAACGATACTTGTACTACAAACGTACAGGAACGATTCTTTTTTTTTTTTTTTCACGAATCCTAAGAATCGAATGAGTCACGTATTGGCCAGTGGAACAGAAAGGCCGCGTAATTTCTTCCTATGATGTTATACGTTTTTTCACGAGAAGAAATGCGAATAAGTTCATTAACCTGATAATGTCCTCTTAAAATGTACCACTCAGCTATTGGCATAAATCTTGTACATTTTGTTACAAAATGGAATCGTGGAAGGGAAACGTACAAAAATGTACAAAATTTAAATAATAACAAGCTGCAATTTATTATATATAATAAAAAAAAAACGAATAGCAGAAAATGTCGTAGGTAGATTTGATGTTAATGTCGTAGAGCCTATAGTTGGAACGTGTAACACCCGGAGCAGCACTGCACAATGTTGGTACAGTCGGTAAAGCAGATATCAGTGATTGCCTCTACGGTAAAGAATTCGTCGATAATACAGAAATCCAGCTCTGCGCGTCAAATGTACATAAAATTACGTGCTCAATATAGAATGTCCCATTATTTGTTGTATTCTTGTGTATATCCTGTGTATTCCTTTCTAGACGAGGTCAGGACGTTTTTCCTGCCAATTTGGAACGCTGCAAACATATTCGACCCGCTTTTCCTTGAATTTCATCTTCGGCTCCTGCACTTTCTATTCTAATTTATAACGAAAATCACGCTTTGGCCGTGTCCTCCATGAAAGCGTGGCAGTTTAGGGAATTTCGCCTGTTTGCATCACAATGATTGATTCGACATTTTACTCAGGAATTATTCTCGCCATTTCTCGCTGAGAATTTGCATAATACAAGTAGTCATGTATATTATTCCAGTTTGTTCAGGAAATTGGAAAACCAGGTCGGCTGCGATTTTAAATCATAGATCGTTTCGGAATCACTTGAAACGGTTGATGGAACAATATTTCGCGTTACTCGATCAATATGAATTCCTAAACAGCACTTCTCTGTACATTAATAAATATATATTATTAACTCGTCGGAGATTTATGTGTATCACTTGTGTGCTTGACTCGTCACACGTGTGCGTCACTTTTTACACGGTATTTTGACACGTTTCTTTTAATACGTTTTATTTACTTTCACCCGCTTGTGTGAATCTTTTTCTTACATGTTTTTTTTTTTGCACGATACGCATCCATCGTATTAAAAGAGACCTTTGTGCACTTACAACATTATATTAGGTCAAGTTGCAACCTCATTTTCATAGCGGATAGCTTTCCTTCATGTCGGCGAGCGTACAGTGCATAGGTCATGAGTATTGAGCACACCGTATGAAAACTGTCACTAACCGAATTCAAGATGATTTTCAGCTACAATAGGTATACAATACACCTATTCTTAACGAAGGCCACTACAAAAGAAAAGTTGAAAGGCTACTTATCATTTCATGACACTTTAAAATGTTTTTAATACCACACCAAAGTGAGTGAAAATAGAATTAAAAAAAAAGTGAGTTGTACATATATTTATATTGTAAGTAATACAAAAATTACGTGTCTTACATACGTTTAAGAATATTTCCTCGTGTTGTGAACAAGTATAGATCACACTAATTAACTTTTCCATTCCTTGATCAGAGATTCTCTTCTTCCAATAATTGAACAAATTCGGAGGTACGATATCGAATGTAACCGTTCGTTGGTTAGATGATAACAAAAACATATGATAGGATAAATGAACGGATCTTTTAAAGATACAAACTAGTAATAAACGTCGAAATACTGGTTTTACACGACAAGCTAAATGGAGGAAATCATCGATCGGATCTGGTCAAGCCCATCAACTCTGCCTTCTAAACCGTATCAAAGCCCGTAATCCGTATCAAAATGGTAATTTTATGCATTCGATGGGATATTAAAGTGTCAAATATTGTGAATTACTGGAATTCGGTCGAACTATTAATCCGAAGCATCATTGACAGCAATCATCCGTTTGAGCGATGAAACAGAGCGGAAAAGACCATACCAGTAGCGGAACTAGGTAACTCATTTTGCAGCATGACAACACTCAGCAATATGCAATGAAAGGAAAAAAGAATCTTACTTATTCCTTGGGAAGGGAAATCCTCTCCTATGCAGTTTATCTATCGGCCTAATAAGGCCCGCCAGACTACCAGTTACTTCGATTAATCTTCTATCACCTGTACGATAGGAATTTCAGATTAGTGGATCGGAACGGAAAACGCATTAAAAGGATG